CACCGGTACCAGCTACAGTATCCAACCCAGTCAAACCGAACCCCAACCAAGCTGAGAAAAAGTAGGCAGAGCCAGCCGAAGCCAGCCCCACAGGTCCGGCAACAGGCACAGACCGAGTGATAGGCAAGAGGCACCCCCAACCTACGTGACATGATAGGAGAGGGTGAACGAACAGAAGCAGACAAACAGAAGGTAGGCCCCACTTGCAATGGGTGAAGCTACCAACCACAATCCACAACCGAACCACCCAAACGCACAGACAACGCGAATGTCCAGCAGCCAATCATTCCGTACCACTCCAGGCAGCAACAATAACCACACTAGGGGGTAAGATTTTTCAGGATCTAAGCCATCCCCACCAAGACGAGGAGGAGACACCTGACTAAACTACCGTAAATGCTGCAAGGATAAAAACTTCAAGGGAACGGCGATAAACAACATCTTAGGATTCCGACTGTAGAAACGAAAATGTAACCAGGAGGGGCCGGGTGGATACCATCCTGCCACCTGAAGAATGATGTAGCTGGTACGACAAGTTGATACTTGGGAAGGTCATCAGTCTAACTCAAGGGTATTTTGTATCGTGAAAAACTAAGGACTCCGTTAAAATCCAACAAGAAACATGAGCTAGCTCAGAGAACGACATGGGTGATCCCCCCAAACACAATGTTCAATCCCCTCCAATTGAATGTGAAACCTGCAAGTAGATGATAGACAGGAAGCCGAAGACATTTTACCAAAAGGGGCTCGTAAGTGACCGTGATGAAAAGCTCGAAGTGCCAGTATCGTGACATAACCAGTAGGCAACGAAACGAGAAGTAAACAGGTAATATGCCATTCAACGCCAACAGACCTCAATACCAGAGACTCTAGGAACTACTGAGGGAATTCAAATATCTCCCCCAGAATCCAAGGCATCAAGGCCCACTATGGGTGCGAAAGAAATGCTCAGGGCGAAGCGATGGCAAGGACGAGGAAAAGTACTTAGAACAAAGTAAGAAGAGCCTATCCTCCTTAGCCGTACCAGTTTCCTTATATAGTGCTCTTCCTGCCCCAAGTCATGTGACCCAAAGTGGTCACATGTACAAAACCAAATCATAACAAACTAGTCATATGACTAAAGTGGTCACAGGTGTGAAACCCATGACCTCGTAGTAAGGTCATATGCAAAAACTCATAAACCAATCATAATGCAATAAACAAGTCATATGACCCCAAGTTGTCACATGCGCGAAACCCATGACCTCATAATGAGGTCATGTGCGAAACAGAAATCATATGCACAAGGCATACATGTAAGGCATACTTGCCAGGCATACATCCCATAGCTCATAATTGAGTCATGTGCGAAATATAATAAATCATAACATAACAAGTCAAATGACCTAAATGAGTCATATGCGCAAAACAATAATATACCTATGACTCATAATCATGAGTCATGTGAAAACCTTTTCCATGCCAAGCCACATTGGTGACAAATATCATGGAATTCGTGATTGTTTACAATATTTTTAGCTCTTATCCACGTTCTAAAGGGCCAATTATAACTCCTGTTTTCCCCTTTTCTCCCCCTTCCCTATACCCCTGCACCAACACCGTTTTACCCCCCCTGTTTGCGGGTACTTCTTGCCTGGGACAAGTAGTAGGAAAACAGGGATAATTCGGGGATAATTCGGAGATAGAGCAGGGGGATTTAGTATGGCCAACAGTCTGAGCACATCCGTGTGCCCATACAAAAAAATTCAAAGTCCAATTTTCGGGTACTTCTTGCCTGGGACGAGTAGGGCCACGGTCTATAAGTCGTCAATGAATAAGGAACACAAAATAGATGGGGGACGGCACACCCCTTCCATATATAACGCTCTGGCGAACAATAGCTGATACTAGATGAAGAGGAAAAAGTCGGGTAGGGGGATATAGGAAGAACTGCACTAGCCGGCGATCTAACCGATAGAATCTACGTATCGTGCGTATCGGTTGATTGGTGTTTCCAATCCAACTATTGTCCATGAAAAAAAACGGGAGGGAGTAATGTCACTGCGGTGTACTTTACATTGGCAGCCATGCCGTTAGAAACTTTGCTGGGTTCTCCACCCCAATTTCTGAACACCGACATTCATGAGGTTGCGTTCGGGGTCGCTTATCACAGCTCAAGCGGTGAAAAATAATTAAGTTACATTGTGATAGGCAAATTTCGCGGGCCTCCGATCCGCGGGAAGGGGGATTCGTTGATGGTATGCTAAGAGATGTCTTGGTTCCTCTGATGGAGTCTGGCGCCTCAAGCTGTCAGGAACAGCTTGTATTAATGAAACGGGGGCGCTGAGCGGTTCATACGGGCCGGTGCCTCGGGTGGAAAAATCGAGTGGGGAGAATACTATACCAGTAGATAAGCTTTGGTAGTTCATGCCCCATCACTCGTCCCCACCTGGGAAAACGAGGAATTAATTCCAACTAGTCTGATGACAACCTCAGGTATATTCTCTAGAGCAGTGTACAATCAGTCGGTGGAAGGTCCTGGTACTCCCCCCATTTTGCACCAAAATTATCCCACTTCGCCAACTCATTGAACCTGTGCTATAGGGCAAACAATACGGTAGGGATAATCCTTTCAGATAGCAGGGGCTTTTCATAGACAATCTCTTCCAGTTCTTCAAGTTGCATTGACCAAAGGCTATTGCGGATACACCACAGCTGACATCGTATAAAAACGTCTTTACACGAACCTCCCATACAAGATTGGAAGCATCCCTCAGCCATTCATTCCTGACAACATTTTTTTAAACGCAGAAAACTTGTTGGAAGATGAATTATCATGCCTTTCCTATTCTGATATAATCCCATTTGTATCGAGAGTGCGAGACCGTCGGTGCAAAATGGGAGAGGTATCAAGATCTTCCAGAGGAAAAGTAGTCAGTCCGTGGTGGGTTCAGGACGCACATCAAGTTTCTGCACACCGTAGAACCCCAAATAACCGAACCGTGCTAGACACTCCGAAATTTCCTTCTCTGGAAAAAAAGGGGCGAAAAGCACAGATAGTCTTTCACCCCCAACTCTTCAAACAAAACATTTGAAAAATATAGAAGAAAAAAAAAATACTAAGGCTCACGGTCCGGTCGTTTGTGAACCTAGAGTACTCCACCATCTCCACCCCCCCGCAAGCCGCAGGCAGTTGGGCAAGCAGGGAGGGAGGGACAACGTACTTAATGCCTTCACCGATCATCACCCGGTTCAAAACAGCGCCCCCACAAGCCCCCCAGGATAATACCAACGTGAGAATTGCCGTTGGGCAGGCGGACCGTGAGCTTGTGTGCGGTGTCTAAACAACGTACAATCAATTTCCCTCGCGAGTGGTGCTACCGCCAGATGTATCAGAGAGTAGAGCTAAGATATGATTGTAAGAAACCTTGCCCTCCAGTCCCCATCGCAGCCAGAAAAACGATATCCTCAGTCTGTGGACACTTGAGCCCATCCCCGAGGAGAAAGGGGGATATCCTACACCTCGGTAGTAGAGCGGAGGTTTCTCTTTCCGGAAAATCGGTCCTGACTTGGTTTGGGGGTGGGGGATCCATTATCGGGTTGCCAAGCGCACATATATCAGAACAGTGTGTATCTCTTTTAAATCAGGGTTCAGCAAGCCACACTTACTACCTGTTGGTTTAGGAGGAGCTAAGGTTAGCAAAGTAGTTTCGTGCACCCCCCCAGAGTGATTCATGGAATATCACTCGTGATGGTGCTATCTGCGTCGGCCGGAGTTGGATAGCTGACGTAGCGACTGGCTTCCAGAGATATGTTCGGGTTTAGCGGCATGCGGATGGTGTACCCGCTACAATGCTGAGATTTGTTGTGTTGTTGCTTTGGGTTTACCGGTGAAGGAATGAGTTGAGGTGTAATCTGGATACCAGATGATGAGTTAAGCGTGCTGTTAATCGAACTATCATGGCTAATTTGTATTTTACTTTATATTGTATCTATGGCCCATACCGTTCTTCCTTCTGAACAACTGGTAAATTGTTACCGCACCATATCGCGGATCTTATGGCTTACTATCATCTCTTGTCCGCACATATCGTATTTATCCTTTTAATCATACTTTGAAGAGGGAGGCTGCTTTTTTTATCGTATACTCATAGGATTAGTATTCACTTATCATAGCTGGGTTTAACCATAATCCATTAACTGATGAAAGCGATGCACACGCAGGATACATATGTGTATGGTATTCCCATCCATCTTCCTGTTCAACTCTCTGAGAAAAAATAAAATAACAAAATCGCCATACCCATATAAGTTGTTTGTTATAAACAATATGTAAAAAAGAAGAGACTCAACGGGTGATAAAGCCCCTTCTATCCTTTTATATTTCTCCCCCCCCCCCGCCTTGGGGAAAATTTCAAATTCAAATCACTCCTCGATCTGTTTCGCCTTCTGATCCGCCAAAACCTCCATCCTCCTGTTTCCCAAAAACGCATTATATAGAATATCCGAGCGAGCCACTCTCCCATATGCAGTGGGGTACCCCCTTCTAGGTGACGGCGGTTGCGGCGGGGGGCGTGGTGCCCCGCTCCCCCAACTCAAGTTCGCCGCAAACACTGCGACTAGTCTCTCCCGTACCGCGCGCCAAAACCGCTTATGCAAGCGTACAAGCAGCACAAATATGAACCCGAGGTACCACCAATTGCTTGCAGGGGGCTCCTTCCTTTTGGATCTCTCCGCCTGGCGGAGCTTGTTGCCGCGCTCCTTCCAGTGGGAGTCTTCAAATCTATCGCCTAGCATTAGGGATTGCAGGTGGTCGGTCCAGCGGTCGTATAGGCTGTAGGGTAGTCGACCGAGGATCTTGAGGTTCACCGCTATGAAGAGGGTTGTTGTTGTTAGAAGGATGAGACAGATTATGAAGGAGAACATGTTGGCTTCGGGGAGGACCCGCATGCTGTAGACTGACTGGGCCGCTGTTAGTAGGTTGAGTTGCTTGGGAGGAGAGGGGGGGAAGGGGTAGTTACGGTCATGAAGGTCATAGGAAGGAAGGTTACGGAGAAGAGCGTTAAGAGGCGGATGTTGTTGTTTTGGATAGCGGCGAGGCGGGCTTCTGCTACTGAGGATGCGGAGAATAGCTGTCGGAGCCATTACATAGCGTAGTTAGTACTAAGACTCACACAAAACCACCACACACAAAACCTAATGTCGCCGCTCTACCTCCTCCGAGATGGGGTCTCACTCAGCCCGTCACTAAGCCCCTTGACTTCCTGCCGCTTTCTCCCGATACGATTGCGGATCTTTTGAAATTTAGCCGCATGCTTTGCTGCAATATCACACATCTCACGATTTAGTTCCTCCATAGTCAGCACCGCCTGTATATCAGAACCACTCTCCCGCCTCTGCGTGTTGACGCCCAGGATGTAGAACTTTTCAAACATAGACGGGAGTAATTGAATTGTTTCCTCCATAGTCTCCGAAAATACCCTCAGGGATTGCAGCGCCCAGAAGTAACGTTTCGAGTTATTGAAGTTCTCATCATCAAATAAGAATTTTATCCTTTCCTCTTCTTCAAATAGGACCGAGTTCTAAGTACAAAATAGCATAAATACGCTATCAGCTGAGATTGTACTTGCGGTGCCCGCGCCGGGTTGATGGGGCGTAGATACACCAACCGTGACACTAATCTGCCTATCGAGCTCATTTAAAACCTCACTCCATTTCTCCCTTATCCCATCAAGACAACTCTCAACCCAAGACCTTAACGAAAGCGGCCCAATCTGCGTGCTTATCCCAGCAATATCATTCTGTAAACAATGTGTCCGTGGAGGGTTGATAGCAATCAGCTGCCAGAAATTCCTCTCCCGCGGACTCAGGTGGACGTTTTCCCAATCCCCAGATATAGATGTGAAAGAGAAAGTAAGTTTATCCTGACGGATATATTTGTCGTCGCCATCGTGTGTTGGGAAACCGCTTGTGAAGACACCGGTTTCTGCGGGTGGAACGCTGTCCTTCCTAGGACGGGATCGGTGGACTTGGTAGAAGGAGAGGGTCGTCAACCAGGTCTGTGGTTAGTATATAAAGCTCAGTTAGTAAATGCATAACATAGGGCCAACCAACAAGGTAATAATTATCATGTATGTACCTACCGTACGATTGGCTTCACTGAAGGTGCTGTGATGGAAGAATCGGTCTTCACTGTTGGTAATAATATGCCGGCGCAGGGCCAATACATCATGCGGTCTCTCGCAGTATTGATAAGAATCCTGGCTATCTCTTAGTTGACTCATAAAAACCGCTGCGATTGTGCTCGGTGTAGTCTCGCGGATGACGATCTCACGTCCTTGGGCACTGGTACTCGATCTCTATTTTATTAAAAAAAAAAAAAAGAGAGACAATCAGCGACCCTAACAGCCATAACCGGTACGTTAACACGAATTACCTGATTCTTTAATCTTTTCAAGAAATCAAGACTATTAAGCCCACTCCTACACCAAACCATCCTCTCTGGCCATGATTCCTAGCCCGAGACACCGAATGCAAATCCAGTCCGTAAAAGTCACGAACGTGAAATGCCAAGTCACCATCACTCAACTTCCCATGCGTAATAGGATCACCAGGCACCCCATCAGGTGTCACTAGATTTCCGCGACTCTCCAGACCGCGCCCGAAACTTAGCATGTTAATATCACCAAGGATATTTGAAAATATTTGTCTCTATTGAACTAACTGTTGTGATAATGAAGTAACAATGATAACCACAATAAAATCTGAAGACTTAAAGATTAATCCAAGCTTGCACACTCTTTCTAAGAACAGGGCTGAACCTTCCCTTTATATACCCCTTTATCATTACACGAGCACTGCCTTATACCAAGGAAATCTCTAGAAAATGCTAGAATACAATAGCATACATACTCGGTCATGTGGCTGGTCACATGACCAACACAGCCCCATCACCGGATAGGAAAAGAATAATGTAATTTCCAACACTTACCCTATGGTTCCATTCCTAACCTAACCAGAAAACTTTCAAATAATACCCTAATCAATCCCTTCATACATATATCTGCCAAGTTGTTCTCCGTATCAACTCTTTTTACCTCAATTTCTCCGTTTTCCCTCAACTCCCTTGTATAGTGATGTTGTATATCAATATGTTTTGTTCAATATCACAAACCGGATTGTGATAAGGTAAATTGATGAGGAGGAACAAAGGGTTTCACATGACTTGCCCTTGTGAGTCATAGGAGTTTATTGTTACATGATAACTCATAGTTGTGAGTCATATAATATTATAACTTTTGTGCGTGACTCATATTTAAGAGTTATGAGTATTATGCATATGATGCATTTAGCACACATGACTTGTTATAAGAGTTATGATTGATTTAGGTATGTTGCGCAGTTGACTTGTAACGATTCTACAAAAGATTTTACATGACTCACAATTATGAATCATAGGATATAGTGATATGAAGGTATGAGTCACACAGGGTTAGGGTTGAGTAAGGTGTCTGTATAAATAGCGAGGTCCAGGGACCTCCAGTGCAGTTTCTCCTTAAACCCCCCGCCTTCTGCCCTCCAATTCTTAGGGCCTTCAAGGACGCGCCCTCCCTACTGGTGGAAGAAATAGCTGCAGTACTCGGAAAGTCCTCATCCTCCTCGGCTCCTGGCCCCGATCTGTTTCCATACTCTGTTTGGAAAAAGATCAACAAATCCCACTCCTCTCTGTTGGTTGAACTCCTATCCCCGCTGGTTTCGTTTGGGTTCCACCCGGTGTCGCTCAAGATGGTGAATGGGGTAGTCCTGGACAAACCAGGCAAACCCTCCGACGACACTCCTGCCTCCTTCCGAATAATTGTCCTCCTGGAGACAGTTTCTAAGATCGTGGAAAGGATAATAGCGAATCGCCTCTCACCACTGGCTAGATCTCTTGGCCTGCTCCACCCATATCAATGCGGCTCCCTTCCGGGGCTCAGCATCTTCGACGCCTGCGCAACTCTAGCCCATGAGGTCCAGACACTATAACGCCCCCAGTTGGTGGCATCCACCTTGTTCCTTGATAACAAGGGAGGCTTTGACAATGTCTCCCCAAACGACCTCTTCCATATGCTGGGTTTCAAAGGCATACTACCATATCTCTGCTCCTGGGTCAGGTCCTTTTTAACAGACAGGCAATGCCGCCTTGTCTTCCAGGGCTCGCCAAGGGTTTTCAAACCAGTTCAGGTTGGCACCCCACAAGGGTCACCAATCTCGCCTCTTCTATTTGTCATTTACGTCTCGTCCCTCCACTTCCCAGTACCGTGCGGTCTTATCTTGTCCTATGTGGACAATTTCGCAGTTACTGTTGCCTCCAGCTCCTACAGAAGAAATGTCCAACGTCTCCAACACCTGGTCAAGATGTTGACCCAAAGGGGCAGGCGGCTTGGTGTTTCCTTCTCTGTACCCAAGACTGAACTTATGCATTGAAGGACACCCAGACAAAGAGACCTCACATCCACTCTCCCCATCGTCATTGATGGTCTCCTCTTCCGCCTGTCCGGGGTGGTCCGATGGCTTGGACACTGGTTTGAGCTGGCCTCCTGCTCCCTCCGTTGGGCTACCAACACCCACTTCTCGAAGCGTCTTGCACTTGCCCAGGGGGTTTTCTCAATGATTAGAAGGCTCTCCGGTCCCGGTAAAGGACTCGCCCCCCTCTTCTGCCATAGACTAGCATCCTCCCTCCTTGCACCCATACTCCTCTTCGGTGCAGACTTGTTCACGCCCTCAGCCACCATGACTGACTGGCTTTCAGTCTTTTGGAGACAAGTCCAGCGGTGGGTCACCAACTGTTTCTCTGAAACCCCTACCGGTATTCTCCCCTGCGAGTTGGCCCTTCCCCCAGTCCAATGCCTTATAGAATACCGTCAGCGCCTGGTGGCACTTGGGATGGTATGCCTCCCACCAGAAAGGAAACCAGCCACTGCACGGCTGCACTCCTCCTTCCCCACAACTTCTTATTACCGCTCCCCGAAGGACCACCATGTCTTGACGGTGGGTCTTACCCCGGGCTACCGACCCCTAAATTGGAAAACCCCCGAGCCATCCCCTCCAGTAAGGAGGCATCTCCCGCTGGATGCAATAGCCCACAGAGTGGTCACGCTAGTTGGCAATCCCTCTCATGTCCCACCAGCCTCGCCCGACCTCCTACCTGAGTGCCTACCCCCCCAGCTTCTGGAGACCCCCTCTTCCCGGTCCTCAAAAAAGGCTGCCGACAGTTCCAACTAAACGTCTGGGTAAAACAGTACCCACCACCACCATGATACGCATACTCGCCCACGCTGTCGCCCCACCCCTTTATGGGGCTGGGGAAATCCGTGGCAGGCCACATCTACCAAATGAGGTCTGGAAAGAGTTACCTGGCCGCTCACCGCTCTTAGAGAGACTCAGACGCCCCGGACACCTGCCCCTACTGCGAGGAAGGGCCTGAATCTTTTCACCATGCCATTCTCAACTGCCCCTCATGCACCAGAGCCAGAGACGTCCACCTCCTGGGGGTCGAGTGCCTGGATAAAGGGGAGCCCATCTGGACATCAGTAGTGCTGCTTCATGGACTGGCCGCATACATCTCTTCCACTTCAACCGGCTTCCCCCCGGACATGCCTGCATTCAAAGATCTGCCCGCTGGGCCCGCCATGTTGGATGGCCCCTTTCCTCCCTCGGCTCGTCCTCCTCGGCCTAAGCCAGGAGGGTTGGCACACTTGTTTGGTTTCCTTGTTGGTAGGATTTCATTTTAAGTTTAGTTTGAATTTTTCCCTTTATAGTAAGCTATTACGCGTTTTGAGATATGGGTTGTTCGCGCTTTTTGGAGGCACTGGTTTGGTTTCTTTTGTTTTGTTTGTTTGGGATTAAGGTTTTGTTTACGCCATAGCTAACGTTGCATGCGAGTTCTTGTACCTAAACAATGAATACATGATTAAAAAAAAAAAAAAAAAAAAAAGGACCTCCAGTGCAGCATGCTCCGCACCCTCTTCTTTCCCACCCCCTACATTCTACTTCTGCTCTCAACGCCATCTGCATCTGGTGAATATGCCCCTTACACTTTCACGATCCTCCTAGCCTATACCCAGGGATTATCTCTCCTTGCTAGGCCATGGACCCCCCCGCTCACTCACGTTCTAGCACACCTGTCTTCAACCAGGGCCCTGCCTCTCACCCTCCTTCGAGGCCGCCTTCAGCTGCACCAATCCTCCCTATCCATGAGAACCTAGCCAGGCTTATCCCTTCGGCGAGAGCCCTGCTGGAATGGCCCCCCGAAAGCTTACCCCCAATCTCCCATCAAGAGGTGCTAGAACTCACTACCAGAGAGTGCTACCTGCTTCCCCTGGTCTCCTCTCTAGTGCACGGCATGTCCGCCCTCTCCCGAACGGTCGAGGAGCTCAATTCAAGAATTCACAACCTATCTTCCCAGATTGCCAACATGCTTCCTTCAAACGACATCCCGGTCAATGCCACTAACATTTTGGCGAACTCCCTGGCCTCCCTCCAAGCGTCCATCAGGGATCTGTCCACTAGGTTGGTGGCAAACCCCGCTCCTCCATCCTAACCGCCTGTGTTGGCCTCCACTGCCCCGCTCCATCGGCCTTCCCGAAAGGGTAAAGAGCCAGCCACCAACACCTCTGCCCCCACTCTCCCTGAGGTCCTACCCTCGGGATACCCGGTATTTTATGACCCAGACCTCCCAAACTATGACACGGTGACAGGCAAGTATAGGGGAAACCCTGCTGCCTTCGCAGCCAAATACCCCAGGACATGGGAAGCGCAGCAATGGAGGGACGGCAAATACCCCACCCAGCTGAATTCCTACCTGGCATCCCCAACCAAGATGACCCCCCACCTGGCAAGACCAGACCATCCTACTCTAAGGCCGCATTCTCAGGGCCCTCAAGGGCCAAGAAAAAACAAGGTGCCTCCACCCCCTCAGCAGCACAAGTCACGAAAACAGTCCCAAGGCCAGCTAGTCCTCCCGCCCCTCGGCCACTGCCTGCTGCTGAGAGAAGGTTCTTTGCACCTCGATCTCTCGCCACTCACCACCCCCTGAGTAGAGAAATAGCGGCTTCCTTCCCAGATATAGCAGCAACGGTCCTTAAAGAGGCCAATTGTCCCCTCCCAAAAGCCTTTACAGCAAAGGTGAACGATCGCGGCATGGTGACCCTCTTTGCCCTTGATCCTCACACTCCAGCAACTGCATATGCACCATACTACGCAGCCCTCTCCTCCTGTCTAAACAAAGCCTACCCTGTGGGTG